TGGATGGGGAGATGGATGGATGGATGGATGGATGGATGAGGAGATGGCTTGGTGGGCGGAGAGGCAGGTAGGCAGATGGTAAAATGGGTGGACAGGCGGATGGATGGATGGGTTGGTGGTCAGATGGGTAGTTTGCTGAATGAATTAGTAGATAGGTGGATGGGAAGTGAATGGATGGATGGGTGGATGGATTGCTGTTTGGATGCGTAGTCAGGTAGGTGGATTCATAGATGGACAGGTGGATGGGAAAATGGGTACATGGGTGAATGGGTGGCTCAGAGGAGGGAAATATGGAGGATGGAATCTTGGGAGGATAGAGGCACAGTGAGGGTGGTGGCTGAGAGAATGGATCAGTGAATACGTGGTGGGTCAGGCGAAGCAATAAAGACCAACAGATTCCTCCCTGGCGATTCCAACACTTACCGTGTCCAAGCTTCGTCAGCCATTAGAGTGACATCAATGAGCCCAAACGCAAGCCAGCGATGTCACCTCTCCAGCCGGATCCCTGCTGGCTCAGCGGAGCCAGGGTCTCTTCCCTGGGAGAGGTTGTCCTCCCTGGTCCCCCTCCACGCCCACACACAGGGGCGCTGGATTCTCTGAAGGTGATGCTCCACCAGGACCCGACTTGGGAGTGGCAGGCTCAGCCCAGGGAGACAGGAGTCCGGAGCCACGTCGCTCAGCCTTCCCACCCCCTCTGTCTGCTTTCTAAATAAACCTTGAGACACAGCCATGTGGGGTTATAAATCAGCCGGAAATCAAATGCTAACATGTAAATAAATTGCAAATCAGCTGAGAAATTGGTTTCATTCTGAGACGATAAAGCACATTTCTCCTGCACGGAGTTTGTAAGGTTCCCCCTTAAGAATTGTAATATTTCTGTGTGGTAATGATAAACATTAGTGAGTTGCTTTAGAAATGAAAAAATAGACAGCCTCTGGGGATTTGAAAAACATATGCACTTCAAATTTGAAAATCCAATTTAACTGTCCATTATAAGGAGAATAAAAAGGTAAGGATGGGATAATTTTGCAGTTACACAGCATTTGACTAAATCTGATTCCGCGATGACAGGCACACTTTAAAAGCTACGAGTCTGAATGCAAGACGACAGCAAATCATTTATTTATGATTGTAATCTAGCTCCTGTGTAACAAGTTAGCGACCGCGACGCGCTTCCCGGCCCCGGACGGTGTGTGTACACTTGTCAGCTGGCAGTCTCAGAAACACTTCTCACGCCATTTCTGGGTTGGAGGGGGGAGAGATATAAAGGAGACAGAGACAAAAGAGATAATCCTTGTCAAATTTCAGCAGATGCAGAAATGGCAGAAGTTTAGGCAGAGGCAAATCTTTTTTTTTTTTTTTCCTTTAATTTTGGCTAAGAGGGGCTTTGGAGAGTCCACGGGTATGGGATCATGTGTGCACTCCTGAGCACGTGTGTTGAAACATGTTTAAACCTGGTACAAGAGATCACGGGCCTTTGTCGGCAGTTGGGAGAGTTCACATAGCCGGCAGAACTTTCTGCTCAATAATAGTTTTGCCCCTTTTCCAAAAAATTTGCTGTGCTGAAGATTGAACCCAGAGCCTTATCCATTCCAGGTAAATGCTCGACCACTGAGCTGCACCTTTTAATTTTATCTTGACACGGGGCCTTGCTAAATTGTAGAGGCTGGCTTCAAACTTTTGATCCTCCTGCCTCAGCCTCCTCAGCAGCTGGGATTATAGGCCTGTGTCCCGGTACTCAGCACTTGTCCTACCCTCTATCCTAATATCGGTGTCTTCTCTAGTGACATCTCTCTGCCTTTAATCTCCACCGCCTTGGTATCTATGGGAATCTACAGCCCCTATTAATCTGTAAGCATGTTTTGTCAAAAAAGGCCAGGATTCCCCCCAGACAGAGGGAGGGAAGGTCGGGGGGATTCAGATGAACCCCATCCTTAAGCCCCTACACTCTGAGCACCCAAATCTAGGCCTCCATCCGTTAGGTAGTAATAATTTTGACTACACAGGTCACCCCATGGCCCCTCCCCACGCTGGTACTAGGTGAGGTTCTTAGAAGTTTCACAATGGAACAGAGAAGGTGCATCCAACTACTACATGTCTGTCTGTCTGTCTGTCGTCTCTCTCTCTCTCTCTCTCTCTCTCTCTCTCTCTCTCTCTCTCTCTCTCAAATGAGGCTCCCTGGGGTCCAGGTTGCAGGAGATCACAAAGCCAGCCGGTGGTGAAACCCAGGCTCCGTCCACACCATCTCGTTGACTCCTGCATGTATCTCCTTTGCAGCTGCCTTCATTTATTTGTTCAATCCCACAAATCTTTATTGAGCACCTAATATACGCCACTTGCTACTCTACGCAGGAGCGAACCGGCAGTGGCTAAGACAACCAAGGTTCTGCCTTTGTGGACAGGGTGGAAAATGGGCGGGGGGGATAGATGGCTTGCCTTTGTAAGTGCTAGGAAGACAATTAAATGGGGGCAAGAAAAAGAAATGGAATTGGTGGAGGAGGATGACTAGAGGTAGACGCTCGGAGGGGATTTTTGAGGAGATGGCCATCCACAGGACCCAGGTCATGGGAAGGAGGCGATCTGTGCAGACCTGGGAGGGAAGAAGAGCATCAAGGCAGAGGGAATGTCAGTGCAAGGTCCCTGGGGTAGGAACATGGTCTGTCCAGATAATAAGAGTCAAGTGCAGGGCAGGGCGCTGCGGGCCGCTGGGGTATTCTAATTCATGACACAGCCTGGTGGAGTTGGCCCTGTGTCCACCCTGCCTGGGCCCCATGTGTGCACTGGAAAAACCTCAGTGGTGGTCTTTGCAATAAATTGGACACTGTCCATCCACCAGCATGGAGCCCCGGACAGCACCCTGTTCCCATCACCCAAAGGGACCGTTTGTCTGTGGCTCGGGATATCCACAAGGGCGGATGCTCATTCCACCTCCTCTGGGAGCAGACCCCCTCCTGACCAGGTGGCGTCTGTCCCAGGATGGGGGAGGGGCGGTTGGTTTTGCCCTTTGCACACAGACACCGTGGGAGGCGGGTCCTGGGGTGACCGGAGATGGTGTGCAGGCGGTCAGTGGCTTTTCTGGGGACACAACGATTAAAACCACACAGAGAAACGTCCCTCCTGAGTGACTTCAAGTAGAAATATGATAAAACTGCCCCTCCCCTGTGAGGATTTCAAAACCACCAAAATCCTGATCATGCTGGAAGCAGCGGTCATTCGAAGCGTGTGGCCATAGTGTCCATTAAACCAAGATGGACAGCACTGAGACCTGGACTGGGGACTTTGACCACAGCAACTATCACTGCTTTTATTATCCCAAATTCAAACTAAGACACTGAGGCTCAGAGAGGTTTGGAAAGCTGTACAGAACACACAGGGGTTGCCGGGCCTGGTGGCTCATGCCTGTCATCCCAGTGGCTCAGGAGGCTGAGGCAGGAGGATCACAAGTTAGAGGCCAGCCTCAGCAATTTATTGAGGCCCTAAACAACTCATCAAGACTTTGTCTCAAAATTAAAATTAAAAAAAAATAAATAAGAAGGACTGGGGATGTGGCTCAGTGTTAAGTGCCCCTGGTGCCAAAAAGAAAAAAGAAATAAGAACACAGAGGTCCCCTGGATTCCAGCCCCGCCCGTCCTGCTGCCAGCCCGTCTCTTCCCGCTGCAGGCTCACGTCCCTCCCCCTGACGAGGACCTGTTTCTGACACTCTGGGAGACGCGTTACTATAAATACATGTACAGTTGTTGGGAACATCTGGCGGCCGCCCCGGAACGCGGTCGCCGGCTCCGCTGGTTGTTGTGTTGTGAAATCAGCGGCTGACCCACTCGAATCCGGGGGATCTGATGGCGTCCTCTGAGCCGTGTTCTGTCTCTGCTTGTCACCCGGGAAGTTTACGCGAGATTTGATCAGAATTTCACAGAACCAGGCAGAGTCTGTGCGGAGCTGTCAGATGAAATAATCTGTCAGAGCTGATTGTGTGAATTCGTAAATATTTATGAATTCACAAGTTATAAATGTGCAGCTCTGGGGAGGGTGGGATCCGATGCTCACCGAGTCACAGATTACCATGAATATTTACAGGGTCCCCAATCTGCTAATATTAGTTCTTTGTGCTGATGGGGGAGGGAGCGCTGCTGGGGACTGTAACCCTTTCGGGGACCAAGAGTCTGAGAGAAAAGAGATGCCACTCAGGGGGCGGCTCCCCCCTTGAGAACCCCTAAAGCCACCACCATGCATTCGTGTGTCGCCCGAGCCGCTCGGCGCTGGCATCTGCGGTGAGGCCCTCGCCAGGCGCCAAAGCTGTTGTTGAGTCGGTTCTGAACTGAGTTGGATTGAAGGAGCTGGAGATGGCAGCTGGTCCGGCCCGTCCCCTCTCTCTCTCTCTCTCTCTTCTGAAGCTCTTGTTCGGTGACCTGCCTACACGGGGACCCAGGCACGTGTCTGGGTCCCTTGCAAAGTGCCTCTGCCAAGGGCAGCCCTCCCCAGTTTGGCCACCGGCTCTGGCCCGGGCCCGGGCCCTGCCTGCCCAGGGTGGCGCTGCGGGTGGTGCTGAGCTGGCCCGTCCCCTCTTTCTCTTTGTCAGAGCCATCGTGAGCCCTGGGGCCCTCCACACGGAGAGCTGCTCGGGAGGAGTCGTGGGAATGAGAGAGAGGGAGAGAGGAAGGGGTTCTGATCAGGAGAAGCCACCCAGCGCCCCATGACATCGAGGAAGGGCCACCCTGGGGCCATGGGCCGTGTGAGGCCTGGGACAGGGACGGAACTCTCGCCTCAGTCCCCACGTCTGTGAAATGGGAATGGTAAGGCGCTTTCCCCAGGGCTGCTCCGGCCAGAGGGTGTGAGCCGACACCCGGGAAGCCACTGAGTGCCCCAAATACAGGACGGGGTGGAGACTCGCCCCAGGCGCCCGGGCCCCGCCAGGAGTGGGCCCTGGGAATGGACGTCACTGGATGGATGGAAGGAGGGTTGGGTCAGGTGCACAAGGTCATCTCAGGGAGTCCCCAGCAGCCTGGGGACAGAGACTGCACGTGTTGTCCACGGTGGGTCACTTTGGGAAGTTGCTGTGACAGAACCCACAGCAGGTGACAGCCTGTACCTGCCTCTGGTTTTCCACACCCCTTCCCCAGCACCCCCACGCCAGCCCTCTGCTGGCTGGAGGGCAGCAGCTGGAAAGCTGAAGGCTCTCTCTTGCCCTGGAACGTGACGTCCCTTCAAGAAAGCTGTGGTCCCAACAGGCACGGTGGCCCCCGCCTGTCATCCCAGCGGCTGGGGAGGCTGAGGCAGGAGGATTGAGTTCAAAACCAGCCTCAGCCACAGTGAGGCCCTAAGCAGCTCAGGGAGACCCTGTCTCTAAATAAAATGCAAAACAGGGCTGGGGTGGGGCTCAGTGGTCGAGGGCCCCTGAGTGCAATCCCGGGGACCAAACCCACACAGTACCTCAGATATTTACTATGACGTGTCACCCCCTGCACCCTCCCAGGGCGTGACTGGCGCCTGGGGTGAACTTTGACCCCATCCTCTATTTGACATGTCTTATGGGTGCCCCGCCCTCATCCTGCAGATGGGGAGACTGAGGCACAGGGTTTAGGAAGGATCAAAGCCTCACAGATCGCCAAGACCCTAGCAGCTGAGGAGTCCCCAGGATGTGGGCCCCACGAGGACATTTCCCAACTTGCCTTCGAATGGAGACGTGTGTGTGAGTGGGGTCAGGCAATTTCTCACGCAACCTCTCATTTTACCTTCCTTGGCTGAGACACGTGGCCATTGAGGTTCAGACAGGTCAAGTAAGTGGTCCAGGGACACACAGATGCACTGTGGCGAAGACAGGATTTTCTTTTTCTTTCTTTTTTCTTTTTCTTTCTTTTTTTTTTTTTGTGCAGGGCTACCAGGGATTGAACCCAGGGCACTGACCATTGAGCCCCGTCCCCAGCCCTATTTTGCTTTTTATTTAGAGACAGGGTCTCACTGAGCTGCTCAGGGCCTCGCTGTGGCGAGGCTGGCTTTGAACCCAGGATCCTCCTGCCTCAGCCTCCCGCACCACTGCACCCCCCTGGAAGGCGGGATTTTAACAGAGCAGACCCAGGCTGGTCCCCAGGCCCCTATGTCAATTTCTCCAAAGAGCATAGCCCGGCTTCAGGGCTCACCGATGGGGCCACCTGACGTCACAACCACGTCCTACACACAGTGTGGCCCAGAGTGTGCTTCACACGCTTGTCAAATTAGGTTTTATTTTATTTATTTTTAGAAATACACCGGTCCTTCCTGATCCTTAAAAGTCCCAATTTATAAACAGACGTGGCAGGGAGCAATTATTCACATTATTCAGGATGTCTCCGTTTTATAAAAAGGACTTACATCAGGGTTCCCTTGAATAGCACGTCCCTCTAGTGCATTTAAAAATATGAATCAATTTATAGCTTGGAATTTCACACGCTTTCCGAAGTCCTCGCTGAATAAAGGAAGCTGGCTTGTACGTCGTTCATTCATTCACTTTCCAACCAGCGATTATTGAGCACCTAATATGTACCGAGCACTGTGTGAGGAGTCGGGGATTTTGAGCTAAACCTCATGGCCTCGGGCCTCGGGCGACACCCAGGCTGGTGCAGAGATAGAATCCATTGGTGAGTTTTGCAATTTGAGAAAGAATTAACACTTTGGAAAAGAAAGGAGACCTCTTCGCTCCAGGCATGCTGGGTAGGAAGACTTTCCTGAAGGAGGACAATTTGAGCTGGGCTTTGTGAGATGAATAGGAGTTCACCCGTTAGAAACTCACCTAGTATTGAACATTTTGCTCAAGATTAGAACCTTACCTATTGAATAGCCATCAAGTTCTATATGCAAATACTGTTTTTTAGGTAAATGAGGTTAGGGTTCAAACTCTTGTCTCACTTGGAACTTTCACAAATGTTTTCATTCTCTCTCAGTTGAGTCTCAAAACAATGATGGTATCTAGACACAATGGAATATTACTCCGCCATGAAGAAGTATGAAATTATGGCATTTGCAGGTAAATGGATGGAACTGGATACTGTCATGCTGAGAGAAATCAGCTAATCCCAAAAACTAAAGGCCAACTTTCTCTCTGATATGTGGATGCTAACACAAAATAAGGGGCGGAGATAGAAGTTCATCCTGCCCCTCCCACAGCCAAGAGAACTTGCCAGCCTTTATTTTTCAGGTTCTTTCTTTGGGTGAATGTTTATTGTTTGTTAACAAAAATAAATAAATAGGGTTTTTTTTGGTGTCTTAATTCATAATCAATCTTTTAAGAAAATATCACAAATCACAGACAGAATATGTGCTCACTGCCCTCCGATATTTTCCGGGTTGGTTTTCACCTGGCTCTGGCTTCCCATTCATGCGTCCTTTTATTTAACGATCCCCCGGTGTTGGATGGCTAGGTTGTTTCCGCCTCTTTCAACGGAATGCAAATAACATGACACTGAACATCTTTGTAGCTGCATTTTGGCTGTGAATTATTCTTTCCCCTCCAGCTTCTCTCCTTCTACCCCAAATGGGCAAAGTTCAAGACTTTGAGAGGAAAATGCAAGTTCGCCCAAGCACAGAAGGCTCCCACAGGTCCCCAAGTCGGGAGATTTGCAGGGTCTTCAAGCCTGGGAAGCCAAGCTGGCTCCACCTCCACCCTCCTGCAGGAGGCCGAGGGTTCTCCCCAGACCTTCCCTAGGGGGTCCTCCCGCAGGCCACCTCCCTGGCCATGGTCACTGCATGAGCCTCACCTCTCTTCCTTCTCCCATGATGCCTCCTTAGAAGGAGAGCAGGTATCGGCAGGTACCCCACCTGCGTGGCTTCTGGGTGCTTCATAATTATTAGCTGAAGGAAGGAGTGGAAAGGAGGGAGGAAGGAAAGCAGGAAAGGGAGGGCGAGCGAGAGGAGGAAGAGCCCTTTCCGTGGAAATATGGAGGGATGGAGGGATGATGATGGATGGACAGATAGACGGATGGGTAGGTGGGCAGATGGGAGAGGGAGAGAGGACTGAGGGATGGAAGGCAGGAAAGGAGGGAATAAGGAGGGCAGGGAGAATGAGGAAATGAAAGAAGGGAACAGATGGACGGACGGAAGCCAGGACAGAGGGGAGAGAGGGAAGGAGGACGATCAGAGGAGCCCAGTATCCCCCAAGCTCATCTGGCCACAGGACTCTCTTTTTGGCCGATACACCTGGTTTTTTGTTTGTTTGTTTTGCACCGGGGATCAAACCCAGGGGCGCTTAGCCACTGAGCCCCATCCCCAGCCCTTTTGATATTTTATTTAGAGACAGGGTCTTGCTGACTTGCTGAGGCTGGCTTGGAACTCACTCGCCATCCTCCTGCCTCAGCCTCCCCAACCACTGAAATGGCAGGAGCGGCCCCCCCCCCCCCCCCCCTCCGGCCCAGAGGCACCTGTTTTTCACACGCAGGGTGCACCATGGACCATGGGGAAGATGACAAGGTCCTGGACGCCCTCCGTCACAGACCAGGGTAGGCGACACTGCCCCAGGCCTTTGCTATGGTCCACATATTCACATGACGTCACTGTTTTCCTGCTCGTCGCCTCGGACCTCCCTGTACATGACAGGAACTTCATGGCACCAGGCGCCAGGTGCCAGGCAGTGGGTGCCCAGACCCACTCTGCCCAGGACCTGCATGGGCATCGGATCCCTCCAGGCAGACGCGCTGGACCTGGAGTGGAACCGCAGCGGCCCGAGCCCGTGGGAGTCTGTGGTTCAAATAGCACCAAGACCCTTCCTTGCCCGGGAGCCCCACGGTTTTCAAAGGCGCTGAGGAGGGTGCCTGCCGGGCGGCAGCTGCCTCTGCCACTTGGCTACCTTCAGAGCGCGGCCGCGGAGGCCAGGAGGAGGACGGGCCACTTTGGTTTTTAGCCAGAAGACAGTGGTTGGGAAGCAACCTTAGCAAAGTTCTGCCAGGGACAAGCGCTGGGCCTCCCTGGCAAAACTGGGGGAGGGGCTGCCGTCG